AGCCAAGTCGCCGACGTGTAAACTCGCCATAAATTATTTGCGATTCGTGAGAAAAATTAGGCTTCTTATTGTTTACGGTATAGGGATGATTTTGCGTGAATTTTTTTCTTTCAAAATTTTTTTTACCCTCGATAAAATTACACGTAACGCACGCCGGTACATTTTTTTCTTGATTGGCTACCGTCACGGTATGCCGCTGTGAAAATAATGGACACGTCGAACCGCGGACAAATTTATTTGTCTCCCGTCCAATACGAATTTATCCCGTCACGTTCCCTCTACTGTCAATCGTATACTCCCCCTGTTTCATGGATTTTTCATATGGCCCGTACTTATGAAAATGGACCACAGCATCCATCTCTCTCGCCGTATCCGTACGGAGCCGCTATTGAATTTTCTATACGGATGCTACCGTCTCATTGGAATGTTTTGGTTCTTTCTCTCTCTCTCTCGCAAATCCCAATCTCTCTCTCTCTCTCTCTCTCTCTCTCTCTCTCTCTCTCTCTCTCTCCAACTCACTGACTCCGCATCTCTCTCTCCGACACATGCACCGACTCTCGAAATAGCATCAACCGCTTCAACCGCTATTCTAGCTATGCAACTTGAACGTCACGTCGGGAATCCAAGTATATTTATAGACACTTCTCAAAATTCGATTTTACTCATTTACCATTTTCATTGCTCGCAACACCAAAATCAACCGTCCGTACTCTACTTTTTTTTTTTCACTCTCAAATTTTCAACCCCACTCCCGGACACGTCGCTTCGTCTCTCCACGAAAATCTACACTCGATTCGCCCAGACAGAAATTGCCGACGCCGTGGATATAGCTTTCTGGCGTACACGGAGAAAAGGGAACGGCAATGGTTACCTAGTCTTGTTAACCGTGACTTCCACTTAGCAGAAAAGTATTAGTCAACTAACAGACTAGTCGTTATTATTATTATTCATTATTTTTTCTCCGTTACACTCCCTTGTCCTGTCGACTATAACGAGAGGCTGGACAAAGACAAAAAAATTTTTTTTTTTTCAATTTTGAAAATTTACCTGAAAAACATAATTTTCCAAAAATTTACCGACACGTGCGTTCCGTTACTTACTGCTGTACTAATCTGTGTATTTTGAAGTCAAAGACTTTAAAATAATCGTGATAAATATCTGCTCCCTGTTTTCGTGTAGAGAATGTGCCAAAAGCCTTATCTATAGATGCCAACAATAATATCGTCTGGCATAGAGATAACATGTATGTATAGGTATACATATATAATTATAACCATAACCATATAACATTATATTATCATTGCCAACACAATAAAACAATGCTAGATTTTCCGTATTGTGACTGCCCGTAATAATACGACTATTGTTGAGCACGAGTAACGCCCTCTTATCTATAGCGTGCTCCCAGAGCGAACGTAAGGATAATAGATATTATAATTTAATCAGAGATAATGATCCTTTTCACGTGAAACTTGCTAAGCCTCCCTTGTGGACGGCGATTGTGATAATACAAAAAATCACAATAAAAGGACAAAGGGACGGGAGGATTGAGAAGAATTTCTCGTACAGGAGCGACACGGATATTACGAGAGGAAGTTGGTGGAGATGGACAAATGGGGGTTTGATAAATTTTTTGAAAAAAATTTTTTTTTTAATTTCTGACCAATAAATCTATCCAGCATCTTCCTTGAGGTTCTGTCGAGTATTTTTTTTTCCTTATTCCAAAAATAGAACAAAGCTTTCAAGGTGTCTTTTTTCCCATGCAGACAATTCACCCCTTTACTCATAAATTCATCGAGACCTCCCGGAGGGAGGGGGTGGGAAATTTGTATTTTGAAAAAAAAAGAGGAACCTCACGGAAAATACAGGCGAGATTTAACGCGTGCTTTTGTATACCTATGTGAGTATGCATATCTATATGTGACTGGAATTGAGTTGGCGAGTATGTGACGTCATTATGAAAATGGACGGATGCTAATTGGACGTTTTTTAATGACGTAATTTTATTTGAATAATTACCCCGTTAGTAATTTTGGTCTTTAAAGATCGACCCTTGGCCAGTTTCGTCGCGAGGGCGGAGGATTTTTGATTTCCTGTAATCGTTATCAATAATCGTAATTGCACTCTTGTCGCAGGTCCTGCGTTATTTTTCACCTTGATTCACACGGGCGATAACGAGATTGGAATTTATAGCCGCGCTAGGCCAATTTACAGTCTGATGACAAATTAGCACGTGAACCGTAGCGCGAAGCTTAGTAGGAGCTGACTGCGAAATGGCGAAGGCTGTCAGGGGGGCGACAGGGGTGGATTTTGTTGGAGCCCTTTGCACTGGGAGAGTTTAGTCGTAGCGAAGTGGACATGCCGGATGTACATATTGGCCCAACCCCATCCGGTCGAAACTGGGTCAAACGTCAGTGGAATGAATTCGCGTCGGTTGACAATTTAATTGGCCAAAGACGAGAACCCCTTATTTCTATATAATATGATTACGCTTAATAGAGCTGCAGACCGTAATTCGTAAACTTGTTAAACGGGCTGTACGTACACGGGGAAAAGCGTGTACAGTAAGAACCGACAATAATTAACGGTGAATCCTTGCGACCCCACGGGCCTTCGGTTTAACGATATGTCGCTGGGGTTGAACAATGCCAGTAGTCGAATTTTTCGTCAGGACTGTACCTCGATCTCTGCTTCTCCTTCTGTTTTTGCGAATTTCGGATTTGGTATACGACGAAGTTTTAATTGAGACAAGTCTTGCGTTAAGGAGACGAAAATTTTTTTTCTACATTAAAATTCCTACCGGTGAAACTTACTTTTTATAAATTTTTTTGGTAGCGGGTAATCGGACTTTTTTTTACAACTCGCTGGTTTGTCCTGAATTTTTTTAATCTTACTGAATAATTCGACTCAACGGAGGACGCTGTGTAATTGACCGACTTTGAAATTTTCTGTCCTGTTTTACCTACCGATCAGTCAGATTCCACGCGTGGGTAACGTATGGTGTATATCTACCGTCTGTCTGCGTTGGTTCGTACGGTACTGCGGGGTATGTGGAGCTTTCGATTTTCCATGGCAGAGCTTTGATTAGAGAAAGGTAGATAAATGACGAGGGTTCGAATTTCGATTGGTGGGATTAATTTAAAAAAGAATCGGGTGGGGGGATTGAAATTTCAAACTCGTAAAATCGGCCAGGTTTCGATTTTTTTTTCTTGTTATTTATCTTTTTTTCTATTTCATTCGATCCACCTTTTTATCTTTCTTTTCATTGTCCTACGTCATTTGTCCAATGAAATTGCGCTTTCAACACGACCACGTGACTTTAACACAGGCAGTTCCCCTTGGAAAGACAATAAAGGCTCATTCGACTATAGTCCCGGCGACGGTTCTCCGATTCTCTATAGGACTTTTTTCCGCACGTGGAGGAAGAATAAAAAAAAAACACGAAACTAGAAACTCGAGCTTAGGGAGCTGTTACGACTCCTTTTTTTTCTTCTTTCACGTAATCCCATGTAAATCGTGCAAGGAAATAACAAACAAGGGTGTGGAGGCTCCTTTATATTCATAGGCTAATTCGCGGATTCCCTTTCACTCGTGCCTCTGCTCTATGTAGAACTTCGTCATTTCCGTTTAAATTGGCCGGAAGGTAGTCGAAGAATTATTAAGGAAAAAAAGAGTGGCTGTCGGATACGTCACGATCTTAGCATCCGTTTTGATTCATATTCGATGTACGGTAAGGGGAGAGCCAACCTGACATTTATCGATGAAAAATCCACTTTAGCCCATTTTACGTAAAAATAATAATGAGCATAAAAAAATTCAAATTTCATCTAATCTCAATCCGTATATTTTTTAAATTATACACTCGCGATTAAACGACTTAATCGAATTAAGCTCGTTTCATTGGCCTTTCCTATAGGGAACATTAAACCCGTCACGGCCCTAGATATTCTATGCATAGTCATAGAGTTTGACAATTATTATGCAAAGCAGGGTAATATTACATAGTAATTGGTATGGCTTACAATTAAGCGTATCTTGTCAACTCCATTATTTGGTTTACAAGTTTAAGGGTTGAATATCGAACAATCAAATTTTGGATAATAAAAAAAAATTTATTAAAGTTTTTTACTTTGTATCTTATTTTATACGTAATTTTAGATCCGTATAACATACGCAATCAGGGGTGGGATAGTGAACTTTTTTTTTGTGCTTTCGTGTTTTTTATCGACAACACACGGTAACCAAGGGGCGAACAGAATCCCTTGATATCAAAGAGAGTTTAGGTTTATACTGTTTATAGAGATAATATCGATAAACGAGAATCCCAGGTGAGATTTGCCAAAGTTTATAAAGCCTGGTGATTTTGGGCCAGGTACGTATATACACGTCTAAAGTGCCCTGGGCATGGCTGAGTATGCTCTAATGTAACGATGAACTGTCAGTTGGATTAATGGGAATGTTTTTACTTGTCGGTATCACGTGGGAGGTTTTCATTATTATTATTTTTTTTTTTTCATGAAATCGTCTTGACGACTTTAATGGTCACGTCAGCTCGACAGGTGCTGAGAGATCTCATTGCTGTATAAAAAAAAATGTATTTTTAGAATTTGAATATACGAGAACAATTTTTTTGTTAACCAACAAAAACGTACATCGTTCACGTATGGAGTGTATCTGTAGAGGTGAAATTTGCATATTGTGATTTTTCAAAATTTTTTTTTTTTACTTTTTTAACCATCATCGTTTGAATCATCCAGCATCGACGGGTAATATATTATACAGTCGGTACTACGACTCCATCAATATTAATGACCGTTGTACTAACGACTGCCATTCATTTCTAAATATATGCAACACGTGTGTTACCGGATTTAATTTCTCTCCCCACGCGTTCAATCCATACCCGTACAACGATACAGCATCCGATTCTGTTTGAATAAATGAAAAAAAAAATTTCTTCTCGAAACAGTGAAAAATAATAATCGTACCGTACTTTTCAGAAATAGCAATGTATCCGGCGAGAGATCACCCTTCGAAGGTTCCTGCTGTAGCGGCCAGGGTGGCGCAGCTGAAAGTCTCGAGAGCGACGTAGAGGATATACCGAAGTACAGGGTGATCCTGCTGGGTGATTCGGGGGTGGGTAAGACCGCCCTGGTCTCGCAATTTATGACCAGCGAGTACATGAACACCTACGACGCCAGCTTGGGTAAGTAAAACGAGTTTGATATAATTCTTCAGGGGGAAAAAAGCTCAAATTCTCTAAAAAAATATCGAAAAAAAAAAAAATCGGCAGACTCAACTACCAGTCAAACTTTATACAGAAATTACTTTTGAGCCAGTCCTGATAATTACCCAGCTGTAATTTCCGCACGCGAGGATCTCGTCGTTAGTAACGTGGGAATCGCGAAAGCTCGCAAGCTCCCAACCCAGGTCCACTCGACCTGGCAGCTCTTTCAGGAAAGCTCTCGTACCCGCCCATACCCATCCGAAGAGCTTGCGTTTCTTGTTTTCTGTAATCACCCGGCACCCGAGCTTGCAAGGTTGGCATCAGGGGGGGGGGGTGCTTTTTTTTACAAAAAGCTCCCGACTTCGGTCAGGCATGGTAGTTAGAGGGAAAACGCAGGAAAAGTCCTTTTTTTATAATCATCCTCAAACCAACTCGAGTCTTCTCTAAGGATTTTTTCCGCGCTCGTAAAAGCTCCGACTGAACGAAGCTTTTACACTGACCGGCGAAACCGGCCGTAATTGCCGCCGGTGTCTTTGGCGACCTTACGTGGCAATTAATTGCTATTTCGGATCCTAGTCGCAAGTTTTCAATCCCGTTGTCGCGTATTTTCGTGCAGTCTAGACGAAACCTCGGGTAGACGAATGCACGTTGCTCAATGACATATTTTACATACCGGGTGATCAACTCGAAATTATCCATTCGCCTATTAAACGGCATTACAAGTGACAAAAGCTCGAATACCGAATGACGAAAAAAATTAAACGATCAAATTCTTATAATTTATTACTCCCCTAAGCTGCTTATCGTACATATACATGGTGTCTCGCGTGAAACAGTATGGCGGATATCGTCAACCAGAAATATTAACGTCAAAATAATTCCTAGTCGAGAAACCAAAGGTCTATTCCTCACGAGGGCCTAATATATCGAATAATAATAATAATTCGTACCACTGCCATGGCTTCCAACACACACATCGATCATCGACATTGATCACGATCGATCGTCGTTGCGCAATTCCACCGGAACCGGGAATTCCGGCACGATAGATCATAGAGCTGACACTCGCGCGGCAGCATAGGCGAATAGTAGTAGTATTGTACATACAACCAGTGCTAATAGCAACGCCATGCACTGCGGGAGAGCGAGAGAGACAGGACGATACAATTTACCTATAGTCGCTTTGGATAATGCTTTGACGTAGGATCGTCATTAAATTGAATTAACCGAGATCCATATTAATATACACATATATGACAAAAGCAATGTGTATATATATACACACCATATATATTGTACTATACTGTACACAAATAATCCACGTCCGTACTATTTTCCTGTACCCTATATATATATATATATATATATATATATATATATATATATATACACAGATTTTCTCTCTCGCTCATTTTTGATCTACGAGATCCATATTGCACGCAGCATGCGATAATGGAAATTTCGTGTTAACCTGTCAGCGGTCGAGTCGTCTCTGGGACATTATCCCATGGAAACTGTACGGGTATTTTATATGTATACATATGTATATGTATACCTATCAGGAGTAAACAGAGCAGCAAGCTTTTATCCGAAGCAACCCCCTCATAATTATTTCACGTCCCTGTACCTCGCTGTCTTGCCCCCTCTTTCTCCTGAATTATATGCAGAAAAATTATTTGTTTTTTTTTTGTAATTAAAAATACTTCTTTTTCTTCTCATTTCGTACCTTTATTCCTTCCATGTACTGTTCGAGCTCGAAATCGCTCCTTCTTCGCTTACTTCTTTGTAAGTATTTACATAAGTGCTTTTGTACCTATTGCTCTCTCGTCTCTCCGTTTCCCGCTCCCTCTGTCGCTTTATTCGTCGGTACGTTTGCCGCTCAGAGGGAATACAACGTAATTCTACTCCTGCCAAAGCATAAATATAACGACGTGCTTGCTCGACCGAGGTTCCCTTTCCGACGAAATCCTACAGGAGCCAAGATGAAACGATCGATAATACCCACCACCTTTGCTACCTCCCTCCTCGCCTCCCCCTTTTCTTACGTACCATCTGTGTCTGACTCCTTGAGCTCCTGCGGACTGGATGTTCTTGGATTTGCTATTTATTTTTGCTCGAGAGTGACAGAGGAGAGGTATGTCACGTGTGTGTATATATATATATATATGGATATCGCACGTTATAAATATATCCAATTTGGATGAGGAAATTCTACCTGCTAGGTACGAGGGGATCAAACGAATTAATTGGACCGGCCTTTTGTTATCTGATAAGGGCAAAGGGCCTGGGACTGACGATTATTAAATTCGTATGATTTTTTTTTTTCATGGGTCCATAAGGTATTTACGTGTTGATTGAAACGTGAAATTTTGGAGGAAAAACAAAAATTTTTTTCTCGCTGATATTCCACATTGATTTTTTCCTTGCAGATGACGAATTCGGCGAGAAAACCGTGTCAATTTTGCTAGACGGCGAGGAGTCGGAATTGACGTTTATCGATCACCCGCATATCGAGATGAGTGTGAGTATCTTTGTGTTGATGTTAAATGAAAAGAAACAAAAAAATAACGTGAAAACCTATCACTCGTCTGATCGCGCGCTGTGGAAAATTCAATGTCAAACGAAAAGTTTTTCAAAGTTACGGTCACGTAACGTACGTGGATGGGACGGGTAGCCATCTTTGTTATTAGGGGTCTCGAAAAACTTTTACGTTTTTCTGTACCTATATAGAGGCTCTTAAACCCATTTATGTTAATCGACCGTAATTGTTTGTCGCGATTATCCCAACCGAGGTTTATATTATCCAGAATTCCGTCTGTCCTGCGAAATTTGTTATTATTTTTTTTTTTTCGGTAAACTCGGCAAAGCCAATACCAATTCGCTCTGGATAATTACACGGCGCGCGAGCTTGCGAGCCCGTGAAGCGCGCGAAGGGCTAAGTTCAAATTAAGAGCCGCGACGTGGAACGAGTGAAGCAGACTTCGAGGGGTGGGAAGAGGGGATTAGGGTATTTTGAAAAAAAAAAAAAATTTTTAACGGATAACAAATTTTTGAAAATTTTAATCGACCTCCCATCATTATATTTTATCGTTAATTTTTATCGGTTACTCTTTTTTTTCCACGCTGGCAACACTGCGTCCAATCGATTTAGAGATTATCTTTATTATTTTATTCAATCTTCGATAAAAGCATCTTTGATCCTTTTCTGGTTACGGTCTAACCACCCGGTTTTGTCTCTTTCTCGATAATGCCCTATCCTTGCGTTTCCATGGGACGTTTTTTTTTTTTTTTTTTTTTTTTTTTTTTTTTTTTTTTTCGTTCTTTTCTTCTCCCCGGAAACCTTCCAACTTCCTACGCTCACGAACCGCCGTCGTCGTAGCAAGTTGACAATATTTAGTTCACGTGAATGCATCCGTAGCCACGTGAATAGGGGGTGGCGGAAATTCTTCGTACTTCATCCCTTATCCTTTTAGAATCGATACTTACCACGTTATTTAGTTATCTACAGGGACTGTACCCGATACCTCTTTTTTTCTTACTTTTACATTGCTTAAATACCTATATGTCCAAATCGATCATTCGAACTTCACGCCATTTTGTTTTCATACTTTATCTCCAAAAATACTTTCGGTCTGATCATTCATGCGATAAGGTATAACGTCAATGTCCTCCCCTGTGAGCGCCGGGGCCCCAGGGCCGTATAGACGCTATACGTTTATTATGGGGGGTAGGGGGGGGGGGAAGAATTTTCATTCTTTTCCAAGGTCATTCCAATAATTAATGAGCTTTCGCTAGCTTTTTGGGGGCAACGAATAAAGTAAATGGGATTTTCGTATTGAAAAATAAAAAAGCTCTTATCCCAACCCTCGACTAACCCTTCATCGTTATACCGGGGGTAGATTCGACGTTGGAAAGTTCGAGGGTTGCCTACTGGCTGGGACGCGAGATTAATACGAAATTAATTAGAGTTCTGATCCCGGTCGGGATCGAGTCAAAATCTCGGATGGGAAGTGTAAGGCACAGTTGGAGCTTGCAGGAACGAAGCTTTCAAAGTTTATGATAGGCAGTATAATATACTGCTGTATAATATATCCAAAATTACATACAGGGTCATAAAATATTACACAGTATAGTATAGCAGCTTCGTAGATCATGGTACAGTATACCACGAAGCATAACGTAAATACAATTGAAATTTACAGGAAAGCAGCTTTCAAAATTTCGTAAACAGTATATTGCAAGATTATATGATAAATCTTAATGTAACACGGTATGCCATAAAATCGTCAAAGTAAATATTATATCATAGGAGTATACGATACTATACATACGAGGGTCGAATAATAAAATTTTTCGTTTCAGACAAATTCGAAAAAAAAAAAAGAAATTTCAGCCTCTTACCAAAATAACGTGTCTGCCTTGATCGATGAAAGTTTGTGCCCTTTGCTCTTTTTTCTTCTTTGCTTGAAACAAGAAAATAAAAAAAAAAGACAAAAGCGACACTCTTACTTTCAAGACATTCTCTCGCGTACATCTTTTATTCATGTCATCATTCATTATTTCATCATTTTTTGCCCTTTTTCCAGGACGCCATTTGCCATCGTTAAATTCACTAATCCACTTCTCGGAACTTTTCTTTTTTTTTTTTCTTTTTTTTTTTTTCAACAGATAGAAAATTCCTTGTCCACCTACGAGCCGCACGCCTGCATAGTCGTCTACTCCATAGTGTCCCGGGACAGCTTCCAAGTTGCCGAAGAGATGCTGAATTATCTATGGCGAGAGCACTATACCCAGGAGCGTACAGTGATAGTGGTGGGTAACAAGGCAGACCTGGCGCGAAGCCGTACGATAGACCCTAACGGTAAGGTTCTTGGTTAAGCAGTGAGGGCTCGGAGGTAGGAGCGGGGCTTAAAAAGTTGTTTCTTTTCCATTCTATTTACACGCAGAAGGCAAGCAACTCGCTACCTCGAGGGAGTGCAAGTTCATCGAGACGTCCTCGGGCATTCAGCACAACGTCGACGAACTCCTGGTGGGAGTCCTTAAGCAGATACGTCTTCGGGAGACGCGCGACAAGAAGCTGCGACGTCGCGGGAGCAAGGGCACGATCTTGTCGAAATTGCACGGAAGTAAGACGGCCCTGTCGCTCAATCTGGCGCGGGATATTTTGAACAAGATGTGCTTGAACGACATCAAGAGCAAAAGCTGCGAGAATCTTCACGTTTTGTAATTCTCTTGGAGAGCTTTTTTTGTCACTCTCTCTCTCTCTCTCTTTTTTTTTTCTCTTTTTTTTTGACTTTTTTTTTTCATTCTCATCACAATTCTATTCTCATCTATCTCTATTCTCTCTTTCTTTCGATCTTGCGCGTCCTGCTCTTTTTTTCTCCCTGCTTTTTCGTCACCCGTCACTCTTACTGTGCTTGCGAGCTTTTACGTCCTCGTACACCTTGTATACCTATCCGACGCAGAGCTTATCTTTTCTCTTGGACGTTTTTCTCCATTGTCAATTCTTTCTCTGTTGTCTGCTGCCCTTTTACACAGTCCTGGACATTGGATCTTCCTCGAGGATGAGCTTTTCGATGCGTCCGCGCAGCTTTACGAACTTGGGGCCAAAAACAGACGGACCTGAGCTTGAGAACCCGTGAGCTTTTTTTGTCATCTGCTTTCACGTGGTAACCACTTCTCGGGTGTATCGCTGTAACAGTTTTAATAAGCGCCGGGAGACCGAGCTTGCGTGATTCCTCGTATTCACGGAGAAAAATCGCAGATTTAATAAAGATTTATTGTTAAAGCGACTGCGCGGCAATGAGATAACGTAACTGGCGGAAAATATACGTAAACATATTTTCTTTGAGAAATAAAGTAAATCTATAAGTCTGAATAGGTACATATACATCATCTTAAGGAACGCAATGACGTTTCGTCGTTTCTTTATCTACTTTTTGAACGTATCTACTTTTCGTACCTGCTCTATCACTATATATACTACTGATATATTACTATACTTATTGTAAAACTACTTTTCTTTTTCTCTAAGCAATATATGCACGATATATTATACGTACCGTGAATATATTTAATATACTTGATTTATATTAATATATCTGTAATATTTATGATCCAATAGTATATATATATATACATATATATATATATATATATATATATCACTTGTATGTCCATATGTGTATATATAACTATAGGTCCATTCAAATTGTGGATTCTAGTTGAACTAGATCATCGCGAATGAACGGACCTGTATATATCTACTATTTCGGATATATATTTATCGTGCCACTCGCTAAGGTGCATATCTCGAGGATAATCGTGATAAGGAGCGTAGATTAAATACGTAATGTATATATTTTTTTTTTTTTTTTTTTTTTTTTA